CATCCGGAAAGCGAAAGGTCTCGGGTCCAATTCCCCCGGTCCAGTCACGGTAACAGGGTAGGTAATATTAAGCCTCCCTTACCGAAATATAAAGGACCTGCGAGGGACGTTCATCAAACGATGTAGTAAACTTGATCGTTCTAATCGAGTCTGGCTGTTCGTTCGATTTACAGTTTGTGAACATCCGCAAAAAAAATATATACCTAATGCCTTTGAGGGAATAAAGTTACCTATTAAGAAATATAATTTTTGGAACTCTCATTTCTCTTAAAAATTATGTCAATTTTTTAATAAAGAAATGTCAATCATGGTAGAAGATATTTCTCTATTGAAAAATTGACATAATTGTGAATAGAAATCAGGATTCCAAAAATTAAATTTCTTAATCCTAGGTATACACACTGTTTCTTCGATGACGTCGTATACACACTGGGGACCCCATCCATATTTATTACTGTAACTCTAGTAAAAATGGACATATTTCAATTAATTTTTTTTTTTCAATCAATAGAGACTCGACCAAGGAACAATTCCATAATGTTTAAAAGTCGATATAGAATTAAGGAGCTCCAAGATATAGGGTTCCAAGAAAAAGAAAAGTTAAAAAACGCGAAAAAATCTCGATTTAGCACCTTTTTTCAAAAAAATCATATCTCTTTTGTTTATAGACCGATTTGAAAAATTGAAAATTCTAAAAAAGCATACTTTAAGTAGTAACAAAAAAATTTGGCGACCCGATATTTTAATTTTTTAACAAAACTGCAAGTAATCCCGACGAACCCACGCTCGCTTCAACAGTTCACTGCTCAGTTGTTGAGCGACAATTGCCGCGCGTCAACACGTCTTCCTACTGAAAAGATGCCAAACTTTTTTTACGTCAATATCCCAAACCCTTCCCCTTCCAATTACAGAAATGCCAAACCGAGAAAGTTTCGCTGGGATCCCGGGGACCCCAGTGTGTATATATAGGTTTAATAAGTAACTTTCTAAACTAACTTGTAAAAATTGTCATAATTTTTAACAGAAATATAGAAACGCGTAAACAATTTGTTAATTGTGCAACAAAAAGAATTGCGGGATATAAAATACGAAATCTCATTCTTTAGATGATTTTATGAACGGATTTTAACAAAATTTTGACTCAAGTAATATCTACCACTGTTTAACGTTATAGTTACCAATGTTAAGAAAACGTTCGCTGAACCTGTGGAAGAATTTCGCTTCCAAAGAAGCCAGTTCTCAATAGGAAATATCGCATTCGTGCTCGTGCTTACTGTCGAATACCTCGTAATAGAAATACACGTAATTGAAATTCGTAAAAAATAGCGCCACAGCTATTGCAACGACGATATGCACGTTTCCCCGATAAGAGCGCGCGCCGTTCGCGTCTCCTTCGCGAAAGACTGCCGCGACCAGACACGTTTCGCTAGTAGATTTTTATCGGCTTCCCGCACTTCGCAAACTGGATCGACCGTGTTAATCGACCGTCCTATAGGCGTGATGTAACGTAGTACACTTTCTCCGCGGCCCGGTGCGGCGGTTTCGGCGACGCCCATCTAATGTAGTTTACACGTCCAATAATCGTGCTACAATTATCTGCAACCGACTGTCCCAATGATGCAAAAGCGAAAATTATCCGCGGGAAAAAAATAGATATAATAGATATAATAACTTAAACATATTGAAAAGTAAAGTTTCCGATAAAATATAATGCAAAATATAATACATAGTTACACAGATTATAATAAAAATGTATGTAAAATGTATTAATTAATTACATTTATAATGTTGCATTATGCATATTATATTATGCATTTATAATGTTTCACATTAACATAATATTAATATGTATATTCATTTTATATATACAATATACAATATTACAAAAAGAGTATGATGATAGAGCGCATTCACTCAACGAATAGTTGAATTTTATTATTTTATTAGTTGAATTAAAAATTTAATTATTCTAGTAATTTGACATACTTTTTGATATATAAATACAAATTGCATACAAGATAATATTTTATTCTCGATGATTCGATCTTATATAATACTCCGATGTTTTTACTCCGAGGAGTAGATGTTTAAAAAAAGGAAGTCCAATAAGCATATTATGTTCGTACCTCAGCAGATATTTTATCCAGCCATAAAATGTAATGTGACCGTTAGTAAATCTATTCGTCGAATTGATATCATTTCAATTTATTTGGTAATATAATATGTAAAAAATTAAAGGCCAGTTGCATGTAGCAGCGGTCTGTTAAGAATTCTTGTCGTAGTTACTAAATTGATATTTAATACGCCTGTTCCTAATCAAATCAAAGCTTTATGTAAGTTTCATACAAAAAGATTAGTACGTAAGATATTTCTGACTAATGTCATTTTACCTTTTTTTTATAAATTTGGAATTATTTTTTTGCGAAAAAATGAGATAAAGAACCATTTGCAATTTTTAATATTGTGAACACATATATTTTAATCTCCATGACTTATAAACTAAGAAGATTAGATCAGTTGAAATATTATTTATATCTTTAAAGTTGAATTTTTGAAAAATCCTTCGCGTCTACAATCGTAAATAATTTAAAAACCGTGAGTACGTCGACAAGAAAAAGTTTTATTCTAAATTGGCCGGAGAATTTGTAGACGCAGGACACTCTATACTTTGCGATCGCAGCGAAAATAGTCTCTGCGACGAGTACACAAATACAGAAAAAGGAGCGGGTATCGCGAGTCAAAAGAAATGCTTCGCAGCGAAATTGAACGTTACGTGCGCATGCATTCTTCTTATTGCACGGTGATATTTATAGAGTGAGATAAATACCCGGCGTTGCAGAAAGGAAACTACTCGGCTCGATGAGCGATTGTCATGTGGCTTTCTTATGTCACTTGCCGAGATAAAAGAGTAAGATAAGACTTAATACGCGCGCCCGCGCGAGAGTTTGCGATCTGACCTGAGGCGTCATCGTCGCACAAACAAAAACAGATTCTCGGATGTATGTTACTTGTAACGACTTGTGTTTGCAAACCCGTAAAGCGGGCACAAACAGTGCTTTGAAAAAGTCCAACTGTAATTTTAGAACGATGGAAGTTTGCATACCGTTATTACCGTTTCCCGAACGTCGCGTAGAAATTATTATAAAATCTCCTTCGAATCTCTTTCGTATCCAGCCTGCTGTGTAACTCGATATTATGATCCATTTTTATGAAAACAACTGCTGACATTGCAATTATTGGCATTCAAGAAGATCGAACGGGATAGAGGGAAAAGAGGGGATATTGAAAGTTTGATGATGATCTTACGTGAAATAATCTTAAAACTATCATGTAATTTAATAATCTTACAAAATCAATTAGTTATTAAATTAACATGGTGCTAATACACGTATAACTTTGTTAATAGTGTATTCAAATGCACGCCTTTATTAATGATATTGATTTCACGAGTAAATATTTTAATGGAATTGCATATTAATTAGCATCATCGCGTGTATACGCGACTTAATCATATTATCGTGGATTAACATCAAACAAGTGATTAATTAATTTATTCTGTTGATTAATGTATCGCGGCATTAGCTTCGATTTGCATATTTTCTTAACGCTCGCGTTAATATATCTTACTTATATAGGGATCACACCCTGAATTTTTTTCCATCCAGTCTTTTTAATTACTTTAAAATCTTTCCTTTAATGAGAATTTCTTTGGAGATACCTGAAATCCTATCCCGATCTTTTCTCACAACTTTCAAACTCACTGTTTTAAATACCTTTGTAGACGTGTAACTAGTTCTACAATCAAAATTCCATCAAAGTGGAGTTTAGTCGAAATTATATGAAGACTAAAGCTAGGTTTGTTATCTACTTTTATTTTAAAGATTAGAACATAATTTTTTTACTTGAACTACACTGCAGCTTCCTCAACGTTTTCTTAGAAGAAAATTTGGCTTCAAATGCAAAGATAAACATATTATATTGCTTTCTCTCTTTGTTTCCTTTGATATCAACTTATTTTCCATTTATTTTCGATATTAATAACTGTATAAAATTTCCACATACGAATTGCTACGAAATTTTTAATGAGAATTTCTTTGAAGATACCTGAAATCCCGAGCTCTTCTCACAACTTTCCAACTCAGTGTTTTAAATACCTTTGTAGACGTAACTAGTTTTATAATCAAAATTCCATCAAAGTGGAGTTTAGTTGAAATTGCATGAAAAATAAAGGTTTGTTATCTAATTTTATTTTAAAAATTAGAACATAAATTTTTTACTTGAACTACACTGCAACTTTCTCAACGTTTTCTTAGAAGAAAATTTGGCTTCAAGTGCAAAGATAAACATATTATATTGCTTTCTCTCTTTGTTTCCTTTGATATCAACTTATTCTCCATTTATTTTCGATATTAATAACTGTATGAAATTTCCACATTGCTACGAAATAACTTTCATTTTACCTAAAATTGGCTAAAACTATTATTTGATCTATTCCGTATCTCTTTGTATGTTCACATATATCAGATGTGCTCTGGAACGAACTTGGCGTATCTTAGCTCTCTCGCAATTCTCTTTTTTTTTCTCTTCCTTTCATTATATCATTCCTTCTCGCAGTTATGTATAAAACATATCCGCATTTCTAAAACCACCCCCTAATTCGAGGTAAAATGCCCTCCGCGCCGGAAATCTTCTTTCGTTCCCGCCGCCGGTTTCCTGTTTCGGAGGAGACGATCGCGTCGCGTCTCTCGCGCTAATCGGCGCCAATGATCGGCGGCCGTTTAACAGAAAGCTCCATTCACGAGACGGTAATCCGATCCGATCGGCACACCACGTCGCGTTAGATCCGGCGCGCCGCGCCGAATCGGCGAACGTGTGCCGTGAACATGTGACCCCGCGGGATCCAGCGAGCACGCGCACTAACGACGCACGCGGGCGCGCTCCCGCCGCTCCGCTCCGCGCCGCGCCGCTCCGGCACGTGTGTGCCGCCCCGCGATCGCTCAGTATCATTCGCGCGACCGATAAGTGACTCAGGCGATTCGCTCACGCGTGCTTCCGTATAGATCGCGAAGAGGGACAAGGCGAAGGCCGGAAGGGAACGAAGGGAAAAGCCGGACTGTAGGGAGACAAATTGGTGAGTCCTCGAGAGAGAGAGAGAGAGAGAGAGAGAGAGAGAGAGAGAGAGATCCGCTCTTTACAAATCTTTAAATTCGAGAAAACGAGAGAAAGAGAGCGCGCGAGGAGCGGGGGCGTTTAATTTGTCGCTATACATACACGGGAGCCGCGATTCACGCGTGTCCCGCTCGCGCGATGACCACGTGCGCTCGGAATGCGCACGTCGCGCTCGCGCGATCGCGGCTAACGGTATTTCCGCGATCGGCGAGAAAACGCCGAGCTATCGCCGGTCGGATGGAATAGCGAAACGGCCGATTACGCGCGTGCGGAGGCAGCGCGGCGGAGGAGCGGCACACGCGCTATCGGAGATAATATCGACAACTTCAGCCGATTTCCCGTCTCTCTTCCTAGTCGCGAACGCCAAAGAAAGAGAGAGAGAGAGAAAGAAAGACAGACAAAGCAAGCTGGCGAAGCCGATCGCTAATCGCGGTAATCAAGGTAATCCGGTAGGTCATACCGTTGACTTTCGAAAGCGGAAAGGTAAACAGATTTGTTATTCCTAAAAAATGTACATCGAGTATATCGGTTCGTAGAATAAACGTCGCGTCGCACAGAAATACGTTCGTAACCTGGCAAGTTCTCACTTAGGAGAAAAATTATATTAGGTATCGGGTGTAACTGTCCTTGCGACATCATGCAGCGTTACACGCCGCTAAAAGGAATGTTTGCAATCGTTAATTGGCAACATATGGTCCGCGATATCTGAACGGCAGACTTTGCGCGGCGCGTGCTCGATCCAAGTAAACGCGCTACACGCGGCGCAACAGCTTTTTTTTTATCCGTCCGCATAAAATGCATCTCGATTAGATATCCCACTCGGTTAGATCGTAGATCGCCCCGTTCAGTTATAAGGAGAAAAAGAAGAGGCGCGCGAGATCGTCGCGATGCGCAAACAAGTGTGTCCCTGCATATATATTTGAGCTTCAGTCGTTCGATAAATTGTGCGCGCGATTTTAATTTTATTTCATTATTTCAAGTGAATTTTTGCAACCCGTGTGTGTATGTGTGTACGACCGTGTATGTGTGGATAAGCACATCTTGTATCTTATTTACATCAATTTAACCTCTGGGTTTTTGCCGCGGATCAGCAACGATGGGACTGTATACGTCGGAAGGTCTAACAGGATAAACATAATAACGACTTGTTTTTTCGACCTTCGTATTCTCGATCGATGACTTTGTACAGTGGTATTGCGGCAAAACTTTTATGCGAACACGAGGATAGATTTTTACATGTTAAAATTTTAGCAAAATCATTGAACGTCGCGAATGAAAGTCTGCAATTCATTTGCGCCTCTGAAACGTAATTCGTGAAAATTTCAGAGAGAGATCATTGGCACCTTTACGATTCCTTTAAAAAAAAAAAGATTGGTTTGTCGATTTTAAAATTCACGTACAGACTTACAGATTTACATTTCGAAAAGATGAATTATTTAATTCCGCCTGTTCATTATTTATCCGTTTAAATATATACTGAAACGTTCTTGCAGCGGGCTTCGGTCGTCCCGAGATGGCATTGAAATATCTGGCTGCATGCACGACGTGTTTCCGTTGCATTCTTGTTGCGGCGGAATCTGCATGCGCGCGCGCTATCTTTTGTCAGCACCGCAAGAGACGGACGGTCCACGTGGTCGCGAGGAGGAGGCAATCGTCGATTGTCACTCACGTCGCGTCCACGCGAAAAGGCGTCCCACGATCGTCGTCTCTCGCAGCTCGCTTCTCGCATGTCGGCTCAACTCTTCTTCGCCGCTCTCGTTTTCGTCTTTCCGCGCGCTGCACAATCCACGCTCGCCACGTCGCAAATCAACGTCCGCAGTCTTTAATCGTGCACGCGCCGCCGTTCGCGTTCCGCATCGTCGGTGCACGTATCCGCACGTCGCAGTGCCGGGGATCATCTGAATCTCTGAACGAGGGAGAAGAGCGGCGAGCGTTGCGAAAATCTGGGTAGGAAAATATCTCTCACTTCCTTTTTTTTTTCACGTCGCTTCCGTAACGCATCACAAACGTACTCGATCGTGTGTACAGAAAAAGAGAGAGAAGTATCTGGAACTCTCGCCATTAGATCTACTCTCGCTACACGCAGTACTATCCTTTCCTCTCCTTCCTTCGTAATCTGCCTGTTTCACTCTGTAATCGTGAAAGCGCATTTAAAAAATAAAAACTTGCCGAGTCTCTTTTTTTGAATGACGATTTTTTTATTCGCTCGGGAAATAATCCTTGACGAGAGTTTCATTGGATTTAAAATCGACTTGTAACTAGCTGCAGAACAAGGTTTTTTAACAATTTCCACCCGCGATGCTTAATCCGCTTATAACTTAGAAAGCTGTCGATTCCTCTGGATTTGTAGTGAGGAGAGGATCGATCGAACTGATCGGAGAGAATTCGTAAATGAAAACATCGACGATGGTTTTAACATCTATACATTGCACACTTTCAATTTTATTTCGTCGTATCCAACCGATTGGACGGAATGTATGTACAATCTATAAGTAATTAAAAGTAATAAAAGTTAATTTTCATGATAAAATTCAATGTATATTAATGATGATATTTCTAGAAAGTTCTACCTGGAAATCGTCGAATATGGGGAGGGGAGAAGGAAATGAGAATACATATACATATACATTCAATTATACTTTGTTCAATATTCAAAAGTTCAACGTAGGTGAATTTGACTTATATATCTTGTCATTTATGAGCGAAAGAAAAAGCGACATAAAAATTGGGAAGTTATTTTGTAATATGATGTTTGAAATTGTTTTTTAAATTGGGGATTTAGAATTGGAGATTTAGATTATTTCGTATAAAAAAATTCGTAATAAAAATAATTCATTTTATTTCATTTAATAAAAACGGATATTTGTCGCGTTGGTGGAATATAAAAACGGTAATATTTCGTGCATTTCACTTTACTCTCTTAAATAACTCCAATTTCGAGATTTATAACGGATGGTTTCACAAATTATGTAACGTAATATACGTGGGAACTTGCGGAAATAATGCGATGTTTTGCGTGCCAAAATAGACGAAAAATATTTGTATCGTTATAACGCGATTATTAGCTCGAAACGTTTCCATATTATTCCTCGCCAATTAGGCAGTGTTTATATTTTCACGGAATGTGCTGCGAGCCTCAAGGCCGACAGTGACAAAGGCGGTTTATCTGTCGATCATATGTTCAAATGAAAGCGACCTTGTTTTTTTTTTAAACTTAAAACCCGCAGAGTTAACGTCCGCAAAATTTATCGAAATGATAAGCTGACAATTTCCATTTCGAATGTAAAATTAACAAAAGCTTGCTTATTAATAAAATAAATAGAAGATTAATTGTTGCATAAAATAAGAGTTATATAATACAACGCAGTAATAGAACGTATATAATAATACTTTCACGTTCAATTTTGTTTTCAATAAAAATTTGTATCTCTTCTCTAACCTTTTCTCTCAATAAAAGATCTTTTTTTCTTATTTAAAAACTTAAAACCCGCAGAGTAACGACCGCAAAATTTATCGAAACGGTAAGCTGACAATTTCCATTTCGAATGTAAAATTAACAAAAGCTTGCTTATTAATAAAATAAATAGAAGATTAATTATTGCATAAAATAAGAGTTATATAATATAACGCGCAGTGATAGAACGTATAATAATACTTTTACCTTCAATTTTGTTTCTAATAAAAATTCTCTTCTCTAATCTTTCCTTTCAATAAAAGAAATTTTTTTCTTACGGGACTTTTTCTTATCAGGCATCGATAATCTGAAATGAGCATTATCTTTTCGTATCTGTGTAAAAGATCATTTTTGCTCCCGTACGTTTATCTGATTTCTCCGGATTAATCGACATCGTGAGAGCCTCGGAGAGTTCTTCCCTGCCCCGGGGCTCCCCGGAGACGTAAAGGCGACGCTGGAGAAAGAGGCAATCAAGCCGGGGAATACGCAGACGTTTGCACTTTTCAGGAAAGTGACTCCTCGTGAACGATGGTATCCTCGACGGTGACGGAAGCGAGCCCGGTGAAAAAATCATGCGGCGCGATGGGCATTGCGCCGGGAGATTATCGCCTGGTCGGCTGGGACATGGACACCACCGGCAAGAAGGTCATCGACGAGATCTGCCAAATAGCCGCGTACACCCCTAACTCCACTTACTCGCAATACGTGATGCCGTACAAGGATCTCAATCCGACCGCCATAAAGCGTCACAGTATGAAGGTCGTGACCAATGGTAAATTCCGCGTGCTCAGGAACAGCAAGACCAACGAGGTACGAGGCAAAGCCGTGATACCGAATATCATTGCTCTACAATTTACTTCCCGTGTGAGGCAAAGAGAATTATATTAGAAGCGTTGCCGAATATTTTAATTGAAAGACGAAAATTTTCTTATTACATTTCAAGTTACATGTCAGTTACCGCGATTCTGATCTTAAATAAGCATAATTTTTGGAGAAATTGCTTTATGTATATATAAAAAGAAATTATAAATAATATATAATAATAAATGTAATATGTTATATATGTTTCATTTCTTATATGTATATAAATAATAAAAACAATTTCTCTAAACATGCTTGTTTAAAATAATATATTTTATATATATATTTATTTATTTTTTCTTCGAGATAATAAAGAATTCTATCAGACACTGAAAAAAAGAATCGAACGTTGAATCCCCTCTTGCTTAAATATATATATAAAAGAAATATTTGTTTTCTTAGGTAATCAAATCTAAAAGCGAAGTATCAGCACTTACGGATTTCCTGAGCTGGCTGGAGACCGTGAAGGAAAACGCTGCGGACGGTGTAATTCTGGTCTATCACGAGCCACGCAAGGTTATTCCTGCGATGCTGTTCGAGTCGTTGAAGAAATACGATCTAGTGGATCGATTCAAGCAGACGGTCAAAGGATTCGCGAACGGATTCAACATCGCCGAGGAGAAGTGCGCGAACTCGGCGCACATCTATTCCCTTCGTACTCTGTCGCGCACGTTGCTGAAGAAGGTGAGGAAAATATATCCTATATATATATATATATATAT